TTTATTTTTTATTGTTAAAAACCTTTTTATTAAGAATTTTTAAATTATTTGATGTACCAATCACAGATACCCCTCTCTCATCCCCTCCACCCCCACCACCCCATCACCCTTGTACTTCAAATGTCATCTGCAGAAGGGCTAAGACCAGCAACAGCCACATGGGTCAGAAGAGCCCTCCCTGGCTTCCAGGATACTCAGTCCCAGTGAGATGTCCAACAACCCACTGTCTGGTTTGTGTGCTTCACTGTCTTCCCAGGCCTGCCAAATAGGAGTATGAAGTCACAATAAACACTGAAAGTTCTGAGACATTCTGCAGGGGAGTCCAAAGCAAGCCTGCAGGAGTGAGAAGTTTCTGCAGCAAGCAGTGCATTTTGAAGCATCCCAAGAGCTCTTGCTCATGCCGGTCCTCTCCTGGACAGAGCTCGAAGGTTTCCCTGCCCAACTCTTCCAAGAGCAGTCCCAGGGACCCACCTGAACTTCAAGCTCCTTTGTGAATTCAAGGGTTTGATAAAATTAAACCATTCACACTTGCCTGAGAAGATGAGATGCACCACCTCCTTCCTTCCCCTCTGCTTACAAATGGCCCTGTGGACGAGATCAAAAGCTAGCCCTGCTCTCACACGGTCTTAAGGAACTCACAGATGCCCAGGTGTGGAGAGTTGTATGGCTGAGACAGCCCGGAAAAGAGGTAAGGAAGGGAGAAGGGGTGGATAGCCGCCAGCAGGTGGGTAATATGAGCTCCTTCCCACCTTAGAAGATGCTTTGGGGAGGGCTAATTTCCAGGAATCCTGTATTCCACACGCCCTGGTGGGGCGTGGGAGTCTTAGAGGTCCCACAGTGCTCCCCCACTTCGTCTTTTCCCAGCCACAGCCCTAGCAGAGCCTGCAGCTGGGGCTGGTATGCAGAGCTTTCTTACCAGAGAAAGCAAGGACAATAAGTCGAGAGGAGGATGTAGTAGGAAGTCACAGTGTGAAAAGCCTAATTCAGGGACTCGGGTGGAAAACATGGATTTCCTCAGACAACCAGTTTTCCTGAACTTTTCTCACTGAGTTGTATTTGTTTAAAAAAAAAAAAGAAGAAGAAGCAAGCAGGGCAGCAGTTTGAGTAAGCAGCTGTGAGATGAAAGTGTTTTCACTGATTAATCCCTGAAATGGTCCAGAGGCCAGCAGCAGGTACCTGGCTCCCCAGGGTCTGTCACTGCTCTCTCTGACAACTTTTCTCACTGAGTAAATGATCTGATTCATGACAGACTGAATCCTGTGGTTTATTCACTGTCATCAAATAATTTACCTGAAACTTCTCAAATGATGTATTGCTAGTTATTCCTACTAGTGTGGAATACTATTTTAAAGTAGTCATTCCAAGTAACTCTGTCTTGTTCCATCTACAGCTCTTTGGCTTGGTTGTGAAAACTTCTGCTTTCCCTTTTAAATGATTTTTCTCGTACAAGAAGCTTTCAGATAACTCTCAAGTTACCAAGGCCTGGAGCCTACTTCCTATGAGCAATGCTAATAGGCCAGGAGTCAGGCTCTCCGATAGGCAGATGGGGAGAGGGACCGTGACTACATAATAAAGACGACGGTGAACTTCCAAAATGGCCAGCTGCGTCTTCACCCTCCTGACCTGAGACAAAGGCCTGTAGGGTCCCCTGCCTGTGAACCAGCCCAAGATGAGTGTCTGGTAGATGGGAAAGTGACCTCTCTTTCCATAGGCCTACGGCAAGAAGGAACCAAGAGGACATAAAAGCACCATAAGCAGCTCAGAGAGAACTTCAGCCAAATCAGACTGTGATGACACCCTCATTTAGACCTCCAGCCTCTGTGTCTGGGAGAGGACGAATGAATCCCTGTTGTGTCAGCTGTCCAGCTGTGGCGTCTTGCTATGGCAGCTTCACTTTTCCAGTCTACTTACTAGATGGAAATCACACATAAAAGGTCCCGAAGCTGCTGCCAGCTGATCCTGAGTAACAACACAAATCAGAACCTATAGTGCCCCACAATCCACCCATTGGTTCCCTCTTGGAGCCATAAACACAAGAAAGAAAGTTCATAACACACAGCAAGGACTCACTGTAGTTGATGTCTGATGGCACACACTTATGTACTTCAGTGGCTTCATATTAGTTTAGTGGTGTGCAGACTGACATAGGAACTCTGAGCCCGGTAGAATCCATTTTGGTTTAACTCTCTCTGGTGGACCAGTTTAGAAAACAATAAGACCGCTGGGCGGTGGCGGTGCACACCTTTAATCCCAGCACTCGGAAAGCAAAGCCAGGTGGATCTCTGTGAGTTCGAGGCCAGCCTGGTCTACAGAGCAAGATCCAGGACAGGCACCAACACTACACAGAGAAACCCTCAAAAAGAAAA